AATAAATATCAATAAATATTTACGGCACATAATTGTCATGCATATTCATATACATATATACTTATGTATTATTATTATGAATTAAAGTAATTACATTTATAATAATATTATCATAATTTCAAAATTCAATTGTATACTTATAAGATCTGCGCATACAAAAACCAATGATAAAATTTAATTTCAAATTCGAAAGATAATAATTTTTTAAGGTTTATTTGTATGTATACAAGTAATTAAAATAAAAAATTCCCATAATCATAAATTTATTATTTAAATGGCTTTATATATACATATATACATGTATAAATATATTCATATATAATATGTTTATAAAAATAATAATAATATAAAATATTAATAATAAAATATTAATTTTAAAATTTTCAATTTAATATTACTATGTCACTTGAAGCGTGAATTTTCTATATAAAATGATAATTGACCAAATCCCAATTATCTAAAAATGCTTCTAAAATGTCACAAAATCTATATATTATAGTAATTATATAATAATTTCCATCATATAACTAAAATTTCAATTAATATTTTGTTGCATTGTAAACACTGCATATATATTATAGATATGCATAATATTATAGGTAATAAATATATAAAAAAATAATACAAATACAAGGGCATTGAAGTGTTATTGTTATGCAGCTATATACATACATAGAAAAATATTTATAGTTATTATAAGTACAAAATTTCAAAATATTCTAATAATATTTTAGTAGTAAATACTTTTGCAAATGACACTTATATAATAATATTTGGACCATAAATATGACACCACATCTAATAGAATAGTGTGACACATATCACAATATAAAATTGTATTAATAATAAATTGTGCAAACATAATAATAATTATTATCTATATACAGAGAGAAAGAACTTACACAGCGAATGGTAAAATTAAATACATTTAGATGAGGAAGAGTTAATTATGAGTACGGAAGGAACTATCACCGATTAGTTCTAGAATAATTCCAAAAAAAAAATATAGTTTTTGTTTTAATGTTTTAAGGTCCAATATAATATACAACTGAGTGAAAATTATTGAAAAGGAACTAATTTTTAGTTACAGTGAATTAAAAATTAAAATTTACGCATGTTTTCACAGATTTATCGGAAATAGACTTTACGAATGAGCGATTAGAATTTTAATATACATTTTATAATATAACATTTACGTAGTTCTTTTATTAAATGTTTTGGAACTACTATCTAAAAAAAAATAATTCGTGTTAGTTCTGCTATCATTATGAGTTAATCTCGTGTTATAAATAGGAAAAAAAAGGGGGTATAAATGTTTCTAAGTTTATTTGGTTTAGTTATGCAAATTTTAATGCGTGTACAAAAATTTGAATTAATTTTAATACTTTTAATTTAAATACAATATATAGGTTAATTGAGATATGAAATTTTTAGTTTTACGACAGTTTGTATTGCATAAGTTTATATTCACACATGCAACTGTATGATTGCATGGAATTAAGTGGTTTAGTAGCTTAGATGTGCTCGAAATGATTTTAAAATCAAACATGTTACAATCTACCTTAGCCCTTATATACCTTGTTTTTCTTTAACCCATCTCTGTTATTGTATCATACAAAGTTTGAATTCAAATGAATTTCCGTATTAAAAAATATCTCTGAAATTAATATATTCATTACCTAAGCATTTATATAAGAAATTTGTTCTAAAATTCCAACTTGCTGGAATATATTTTTCACAATGTTAAATAAGGATCACACCTATAATTATTAATAAAGTATTGCAATTTCTCATTATGGAAGAAATAAATTATAAAGATGATCAAAACGATTTTTTTTTACCTCTTGCCCTTACATTTTGAATCTAATCTATGGACTAATAATTCGAAGTATAAATATTGTTTACACATATTCTTGTCAACTAAATTTTTTTACACTATTTAATTCAGAAAAAAAAAATGTTGTTATTCAAATATAAAAGAAAAATAAAAAATTTTTGTTAATAATCACAACATTTCAATTGAATTCCAAATCAGTATACCATTCAAATACTGGTAAACCATTTTTAGAAAATAAAATAAAGTTCATCTGTATAACTACAATATATTCTAGATTTTTTGAAATAGATGCTTTGTAGTAAGCATCTATAGAAAATCAAAATATTTACTTTTGCATTTACCATTCAAAATTTTTCTTTTTTCATATTTTGCATAAATACGAGTACTCCGTAGTGTTCATGCATGTTTTTTTTTTATATTACTTTATTCCTTAAAATATTTTCAAGATAAATATAATAGTTAGAGTATTTCTTTTTCATATATGTAAAGGAAACGGATGTGTGTGATTTTTTATTTTTATATTTTGCTAAATGCTAAGAATTTTATAAACTATATAAACGAGTTTAATCAACCTAGAATTCCAATTTCATATATTGTTATGTATTCAGTTTAAATAATCGAAACAACCTTGGTGTAGTAAGTCGAAAGAGTTATTAAATTGTTGTCGTTTTATTTTTCTATATACATACATATATGTGTAGATAAACGTTTAGTTAAATAAAACCTAGTTTGTAATTTTGAATATCGATACGAAACTATCTACACTCGCATTTACCTATATTGTAAAAAAAAAAAAATAAATAAAAAAATATATTATTAAAAACAAAAATTTTTAATATTTGTTAAGTATAAAAAAAAAAGAAGCTAAAATGCTCAACGTATTTAGAAAATTGAAGCATAAAAATCATAACGTTCAACAAATTGCCAATAATATTGCATTATGAATGGTTTAAGCTGCGTTTAACCAACGATTAATGCACTAAAATTTTGAGAAAAAATGATGAGTGAAAATGAGTTTAACGATTTGCGGTGAAAAATAGAAACCCTTTTTAGTGTCTTGTTAAATTTTATATCAGCGACATAGTTGCATTAATATTTTGACAATTAAGGATTAATTCAATTATATTTTTATTATTTTGAAGTACACACTTTAAAATTAAAAAATATAAAACTATTTTATGTAAACCACAAAGATTTTTTGAATTTCCTAAAGCGCAAAAATATAACCATTTGTTTCTGTTTTTGGAAGGGCCTGAAAATCAAATGTTCTCGTCTGTTTTCTTTTTTCATATTCGTCAGTTTTGGAAAACTATATAGAAAACAATAAGGGATTTTCTTTTCCATAACAAGATTTTGTTCTTACCTCCTTTCTCCGAAAATACCTCCTTCTTCCGAAAATGTGTGATTTTGGAAATTTTTATTAAAACAATTTTCTAATTTAATTCTCTTTAAACTTTTGTTTCTCAACCTATGAGGATGCAAAAATTTCTTAATGCATTAAATAATTTTGGAATATTAATGAAATTAATTTTTAAAAGATAGTTTTTAAAAAAAGTAACAGAAAACAAATAGAAAATTTGTTTAAGGAAAATATGCTTTTTGAAAACACCATATTTAATATTGAATTGATTATTATTAAAACTGCTCGAGTAATTCCTACTATATTCGAATTTAAAATTTCAAAAATTGCTGCCACTGAAATTACAATTTTTGCTATAGTTATTGCCCTTAATAATTGTAATATACTTGGCATTTATCTTGGCATGACCTTAAATGTTAACATTAAAATTGTACAAATTTATTAATAGGTTTATTTTCTATTATAGCCATATTTTATAAACATGGATTTTTAATTGTCCTTCTAATGTTAAATTTTTTAATGTAGCGACTTAAAATGCATAATTAGAAATCAAAATGCAAAGCTATATCTAGTAATATCATAAATCATTACTAGTAGCGTTTGCAACTTTAATTTTCCAATCTGTCAAAGTTAATTTGATTTTCAATAAAAATGAAATTGTTTCCAATATATATGTATGTATTCATTATGTAAAAGAACATTAAACTATAACAGACTGCCTGAAAACATTTACTTTGATTATCTTGAAGAAAAACTGAATTCAATCTCGTGTTCTATTACTGCAATAAAATACAAGTAGGTGACTATAATATCATATAGTATGAAAAATACAATATTGTTATACCCACTCTTATTTTTATAAAAAAAATCTATGTATACATATGTATAGTTGGTACAGATACTAAAATATACTCGTACATATGTGGATTATTTTAAAATTAGAATATTGTAAATATCTAAAAGGAATAAAAGACAAAAAATAAACAAAAGCAATTTATGTATACAATCATATTGTAAGAATATATTGCTATATTGGGAATGAGTATTATATTCTGTCCTTTTACAATCAGAAAATAAAAGAGAAAAAGAAAATTGCAAATATACAATATTTGCAATTCTTTATTTTTTTGTAAGGATATGAGACATTTTTTCTATGCTTTTTAGTTTTACATTTTGTTTTTTTTGTTTATTTTTTCTTCTGTTGTTAATATTATTACACTCCTGTTATTGTTTTTTTGCTGCTTCTATTGTTATTTGTTTGCATTATTCTAATATTTTCAGAATAATAATATAAGTATATCAAATTGAAAATGGTTTTCTTTTTATTTCGAAATATTATGATATTGGGAATAAAAAAAAAAAAACTGAATATATAAATTTTACTCTACGTATATGGATATGTATAAAAGCAAGTACATAAACTATACATAATAACATAGTATATTTTAGTATATTATGCAGGTATAGTTAATGTTAAAGAAAATGAAGTAGAATGAAGGTAAAAACAATATTGAATCGAAGAAATAAAGAAATTTCAAATTGTATTATTCTTTGTATTTTTTTTCAAATTTTTTTTATTTTTTTTAAATTTTCTTTTTATTATTTTTCTTTCATTTCATGCAATATGGTAAAATCATTTTGAAAACTTAAACTATAAAAATACATCAACTATACCACCAACAATATATTCGAACATATTTACTCATATATTGTCTTCATATATTATTATGACAATGGAACGAAAAATATAATAACAATAAAAACAAAACAAAAAAAAAAACAACATAATATACAACTACATAGGTAATGAAGTCTCTTGAACCGCATGTTAATGTTGTACGCCTTCTTGGTTCTTGTACTGATAAAGATCCAATATTTGTGATAATCGAATATGTAAATCGTGGCAAATTGCAAACATATTTAAGAAATTCGCGTGCTGAAAGGTAAGTTACTTGATTTTTGGTATTTTTTTTTCTTTTTGTTCTTTTATATTTCATATTGTATAGTTTTATTATTATTATTAAATTCAATTTATATGTAAATTTTATGATAATATTATATTATTATGTTACATAATATTAAAATTATAAAATAATTTATTTAATTAAATATGTTACTCATGTATTCATTTAATACGTATATAGTATAGAAAGGGAAATTGGATTATATAATTCAAATTCAAGAACGATGGTGTTGATCTTTGAAAAAATAAAATTTTTAGAGGCATTATATGTAAAGTTTTCTTATTAATTGGTGAAGGTTAATTCATGGGTTTAAAACAATTTTGAGTCAATTATTGACACAACTTTCATTTAAAATTTATTGTGTGTTTAATCTTAAACACATTATAAATAGTTTTTAAGTACCGACAAGTACCAAACATAAAAAATATGTAAGAGACTAAAAATGAAAATTATAAATTTGAAAATTTATTTAATTAATTTTGTAAATTCGTTGAAATTTCTCGACTTGATGTATGTCATGTATATTGCTTTTAAAATATAGCAATATTCATTTTGTAAAAAAAAACGATAAAACTGAAGCTATATTTGATTTAATATTTTTCATTAAAATTAATTTGCATTTGCATAAAATCATTGGTCAGTTGAAATTTAATTTTTCAATTATTTAATTTAGGACCTAATTAATATCTCAATTGGTTGTTCTATAAAAACATTGTTCCTAAAACATTGGAACATCGTATTTGGGTTATTTGTAATATTTTATAAGAAACATTGTCGAAACATTTTAAGAAATTAATCATACACAATAATCAAAAAAAATATTACCTTAAATATAAATCTCAAGTTTTGTTGAATTATACAGTCGGACCCGCTTAGAAACATTTCGAAAATTTCAAAATTTTTATTGCTTATATACGAAACCAATTTTGTTTTGCTAATAAAGAAGTTTTGCTTTTATGCGTGTTGCTTATACCGGTCAGACTGTATATTGTGTACCATTTAACTAAAAAAATTCTGTCTACCTGTAAATAGAAAAACAAATTTTTAAAAATTATTTGGGTGAATTAAACTTTCTAAAGAAATTTATTAAATTTTTTTTTTAAATTCTCACAAACAAACACTTAATATTAAAAAATAAATAAAATGATCTAAAAACATTGTGGCTTATACCATACTGTTTTCAGCTTTGGGAAATCCTAAATCTAACAATACTATTTGAATATTAACAAATTAAATTTTGTTAAACGATGAACTAGAAGAAACCGATGTGGGACATTTTTATAACAAAATCTTGAATGTAATTTATAATATTTATAGTAAAATTCTTCTTTAGAGTAATTTATAGTGTATAATGTTTATGAAATAGATAAGTTTCAATACCTTAGCTCTGAAAATTTATAAGAAATTAAGCAGATTGAAATTATTCTCCGACCAACTTTCCATTTTCAATTTCTTATTCCAAATAGATATTACAATTTTCGAGCTGTTTATGTACTAACAGACAAACCCTACACACAGTAAAATCTGGTTAAAATATACCTATGACCAAAGGAGTGTTTTGGGAGAAGATATAGGAGAACTTTCTTTTATAATTTATAAACGATATTAATTTTTTGACTTTTATCCTCTAATTTGTGTATGCACAAAATACCAATAGAACCAAGTTTTGACCGGACGCAAAGTACATAAATAGGAAAATTCATAATTCTAACAAAATGTTATCTTAAATGTTATATGGTATGTTAAAATTCCAGAATTGTTTTCCAAATTCAACTCTGTACATTATTACATGCATATTATTTCATTTTTATAATATATACTTATGTACATTTCATATAGTATATAAATTTATACATGGTAATTTTATTAGTTCAAATGAAATTATAAATTTAATAAAGTTTAAAAAAACATTTTCTTTATAAGATATTAAAATTTTTGTTAATTTTCTATCTTTTACTATATGTGTATGTGGTTACCTAGAGAATGTAAGAATTTTATGTTATCTTAGGATATGATGCTTTCTATATTAAATGAAAAGTTTCCATAACATTCCAAACTTTTTTTTTTAAATAATTTAAAACATACATATATATACATATATATATTCATATACATATTTTGACTATATTATACCCTGAGAGAAAAAATTTATTTTTCAAGAAAGTTACAAAGTTTTTACAAAGTATGAATGTTATAATATGATATAAAGTGGGCAAGGGTGAAGAAGTGAAAATTTCTTAGATCTTATATCATTTTTTTTAATAATACTCTCAATTTTCTTTCTAAAGAGTTTTGCCTGTCTTTTTCTTAAAACTTTATTCAATTATACTCAATTTTAAATTTTAATTTCCTGTTTATGCTCTATAAAATAAACTATCTACATATATAATTGATTTATATTTTAAAATTTTATTTACATAAATTTTTTATTTTTTTTTATAATATGTTGTAGTTTTTAAATTGATTACTTGTAGTTACTTGGTATATATGGACTTTATGAAGTGAAGTTTTTAAAGAGATTGTAATTTTTCTGTGAAAGATTTTTTTATTTTAATTGTGTTTACAAGTTTGTGTTTAATACAAGTTTATTTTTTTTAATTAATATTTAAAATTCTAAATATCTAAATAATAATTTATAAGAGATCAAGATATTTGTTCAGTTATAGAATTTAAGTCTAATAGTTTTAAAAATTTTTGAAATAAGAAAAAGTAGTAAATTACACAGTGTTCATTTTTCGTACCTTGTTATCTTATTCATTCTCAAAATTAACGGTACTTAGTTTTACACTTAATTTGTTATTAAATGTGAAAATCAAAAATACTTAAATTTATTTTAAGAATTTTCTGTTATAACAAATTGAAACTAATGAACCAATTTTTATTATTTCAAAACTCAGTGTTTTTGGAATTGTAGTTGAAGAATTATGATTATTTCAATTTAAAATATGTGATGGTCTATTGAAGTTTTATTAATGTTACAGCCTATTGCGAAAAACTAAATTAAGTTTAGTGGACACTTATTCAGGAAATAATTGCTTTTATTTGGAGTGTGCTGCTCAAAATTACCAAAAATAAGCTATACGAGTAGTTCACAAAAAATTTTAAAAATTCTGAAATTTTAATTAGAAAATATTTCGATTAAATTTAGAATTATACAGTAAACTGTAGAATCCAAAAATTATATGGGATATCTAGTTATGTGCTTAGATAAAATTAACGTTAATTCATTGATAATTGACTAAATTTCGTTAAGTATTAGATAGTTTTAAAAAAAAAGTTACTCATCTTTATTTGGCTCCTATATACATACATTATTTAATTATTTAATTATGTACGTCATATTGTATTCGATCATTTTGAAATTTCATTGAAAAAACATTTTGGTTTTCATTTGAAATAATTATTTTCCTTTTATTGATTACCTAAAAATAAATTCAAATTATATTTATTGGATTTTCGTTATTTAAAAGTTATTTTTATTTTACCCGTATCAGATAATTACTAATTTATTTTTAAATTTATTTTTAAATTTATTTTTAAATTATTTATTTTTATACAATATAAATTCCCTATAATAATATAATAGAAAAAGATTGACTATCAATTATTTTAATTAGCGATAGAAACGATTTTCATTGTAATTCAATTTTCATTAATAAAGAAAACGTGAGTTAAGTACTAAAAATATCATTTTTTTATATATCAATAAGCATTTATAAATATATGTAGAAGAAAATTAGAATCTCTTTAATTAATTTGAGTTTAAATTGCACATTGAATTGCTTTCAATAAAATATTTGACTTCTTTATCAATTGCAACTATAATAATAAGGACATACGTAATTTAATTATAACAATTAAAATTAAATTAATATTTGTAGAACATTTGTTATCGTATATCCTTGATCCGATTATTTGCATGAGTTACTTTATAGTTCTTCAGGTTCTCTAATATTCACATCTATACAATATAATTAAGAGAACATAAATTTAATTTACAAATATAATACAAAATATAAAAATTTTTAGTACAACCTTATTGAACATGTATAGTTCATTGAAAAATTATACATAAGTTTAGGTGTATGTTTACGTAGCAGGTATGTATACACCTCTAATTACATTGTTAAATTTTTATAATGAAAAATTTCATGAATAACTAATAATGCAATTCAAGCATATTATTTTCTAATGAAAAAATGTACATATACTCTATAATAAGATTAATATAAAATATTATATAATTGGAAATGATGACTTTAATATAATCAAAAACTATTATATTTTTGCAATAAAGCAATTAAATGCTTTAATGTATTGTGCTTTTAATTGAAATAATTTAAAAATTATAATAAAATAATTATTTCAAAAATCGTAAGAATTTTAAAATTTTATTGGCGAACTATGGAGTTGGAAAAACATCCTATATGAAATATAAATTTACAAATATAATAATATCTCCAATAAATCAGATGTTAGGCAGAATCTTATTCCATTTGAATTGTGAGAAACTTGATAAGAAAGATGGTGTTATCACAATTAATAAGAATATTGTAACAGCAAGTACAGTTCATACGGCCACGACTTAAAATAACCCCATTTCCCAAATAAATTTTTGATATACTAGAATTTTTTTTTTATAATATCCTATAATTGTAAGGGAAAATTTTAAATTTAATTTAATTAAGTTCTTTTTATAAGAGTCGCGAAAATTTTCTCGTTTTAATTTTCATTTAAAAGAATTCAAGGCTGTATACGGTTACTTTAAAAAGACATCCTTATTAAATAATTTTATATAATTTGTAAACAAATTACAATATTATACTTTAAATTTTTTATACATGTACTCAAAATATATAAACATACATACATATATAAAGTACATTAATAAATAGATTTTATTTATTCAACGGCAACAACGTAGGTAATTGTAAAAATCCCTCGTTTAATTAAAATAGCTTGCTCTTATTTTATAGTTAAAAAATATTTCTAATGAATGTTATACATACTTTGTTTTTTTTTTCTAAAGGAATCCTCTTATAGTGTTAATAATAAAAATAAAATGAAAATGCTTTCAATGAAATTCTATGCTAATTAATTAGGTAAAAAGATGAAAAAAAAATATTATTTTTTTTTTTTCAAGTTTAAAAAACATTCATTAATAATTGAAGCAAATGAATTATAAATGTAAAAGTAATATACAAGAAATAACTAAAATGAAATTCAGTGAATAGATTTTATGTAACATAAATAATAATTAGTAATGTATGTCAGAATTTTAAAGTAATTATGAAGTAATTGCCATTTATTTCTAAGCTGTCCGTGGTACAGTTGTTCTTTATTAAAAAAATCCTTTAAAAAGTAAAAGCCGACACATAAGTTTTGAGAAAAACGAAAAATTTATGCGCGAACTTATTTTTTTTTTAATTAAAAACCAAAACAAATTCAAAGCTATGAAAAAAGCAAATTCAATGCTGTATTGAGAATTAGGAAAATGTTTTAGTTCCATAACTTAAACCTAGATTTTTTAAAGACTTTTGGAAAATGTTATACTATTCTAATTCTTAATTTTCTTTTTAAAATACGGTATTGTTTAGGATATTACCCCTACTGGTATGCAAAATTGTAATTATTTACTCGTACAACTCAGTGTAGAAAATATTCTAATTTAAAATTTTCATGGAAACACCTTACTTTAAATTAAGTAGCTAGCTATATTAGATAGGAAATTCCAAAAAATTCTTTAGATCTTTTCTTTGAATTTAATTAATTTTTTTATTTTATAAATTTCAAAAATTCGGGTATACTAAATTAACTATGCTAGTGATGTTAAAGAAGATTTTTCATTTATCAATTCTATAAAATTTTTATTTCATAATTTGTTAAAGAAAACTTTATTTTCGATATGTGTTTGAAAATATGATGTTTAAAAATTGATCTTTATTTTTTCTAGCAATTTAAATATTCTTTGCAATTCAAAATACGCTATAATTTCTTCCCAATTAAATTTATTTAACAATTAACTTAAATTTAAGAATAATGAAACAACATTAAATTTTTAATGTCAATATTAAATTTTCTTTATTAGAATTTTTACTTTAATTGACATTAATTATTCATTTATTTATTTAAAATTTGTTACAATCGAGAAACAAACGTGCCAAAAATGGTGTACTTAAATAGTATGCTTAAGAAATTATCATAAAAAAAAACGGAAAACGGAGGAAAAAATAATACTATTACAAAGCCAATAAAAAAAAAAAGAAAAATTAATTGGATTTTCTAATTTCAAGTACATGCAAATAGAAAATGTCCTTGATTACTGTACAACCATTTAAAATACATAATAATCGAATATAAAATTGTGATCATATACGCATACATTTATAAATATAAGCGCATATAATATAAAAATGTAAACAAGCAAACAAACAAACAAACATAACAAAGACCTCATTTAGCTTGAAATCGAAAACTTGGAGGTTACAAAATTAATTAAAATCTCAAAATAGCTGTAACCACAATTTTTAGTTTTGTTGTTCTTTTATTGTTAGCTAGGAAATTTAACGTTACCAAAAAAGTGTTAAAATGTTAATTAAAAATTGAAGAAAATGTTTTCTTAACTCTTCTACTAATATTAGGAATTTTAAAATCTCTATATACCTAGCTATGTTAATTATTATTCTTCTTATATATGTATATGTTGATTTAGCTTAAAAATCGTATACCAATTTTATATCTGAACAAATTTACCTACTTTATGTATGTATTTGTGATTTCAAGTTTTGTATTTAAATAATGAGAATAACTAATTGAGACATATTTATAAATGTATGTATGTATATGTAGAAATTTATATTGTACATGAGATAATGAGCAAGGAGAAAATTTCATTTTATTATTGTTTCCGCACAATTGTTACATTTTCACTTTAAAACAAAGAACACTCCATTAATGTAACAAAGAAAATATGTAGATATACAAAAAAGGAGTTTTAAGTCGTTAAGATTCAACAAAAGAAAAAAATAACAAAACAAGAAAAAAATTCATTATTTTCATTAATATTCAAAAATTTTAATTTTTTCGAAAAATGTTGTTAAAATAATATTGTGAATGACTTACGAGACAATTTTTGCTATTCAGGAAACGCTTACTAAAAATATGCGTAACATTTAGTTTAAATTTCTTGGAATTTGATTTACAGTGTAATACATTGAATAAGAAATATTGCATAGCTCACGGGGTTTCCATATATCGAATAATTCAATTTTAGTTTTTACTTTAAAATTTTCATATTTATTTATTAGACGAACTTATAAAATTTATTCAGGCTACTTGGCTCCATTCAATTGAATGTATTATTCTAGCCTGGTAAAGCCTATATGTTGAAGTATATTTTTTGCAGGAATTCTTAACTGATTTTGGACACATTAAAAATTAAATTTCTACAAATTAAAGCGGCTCTTACTCTTACATTTTCTAAAAGGATTTCATCATAGAAATAAACTTATTTTGCCTAAAAATGTAAAATGAAACAAAAATGGAAAATATATTTTATATTTAAGGTTTAAAAAACAGAAAATCTTTTGAGAAATTATTCTTAATTACGGTCTTTTTGATGTCTTATTTCCTATAGATTATTTTATTCGATTATTTATTTCATAAATTATTTTTCATAAATTTAATTAACCTTGAACATTTTTCCAGTTATTGTATATAAATTTATAAAAGAAAAATTCAGTTTGGGCGTATTAACATGAAAAAATTGCTTAAATCCTTGTATTATAAATTTTAAAATTATTGATGTCTTCGGAATTACAGAAACATTTACTAAATTATTGTAATCTTTCTCAGAAATTTGAGTTAATGAATTTAATTTCCTACTAATTTCAATACAAAAAGGTAAAAGATAATTTACTTAAGATTTTACCGGATATGCATAATATGAAATTTAATTTTATCTTCAATAATTTTAGAACTAATAAATTATATTGTTACATCCTGTATATTCCAAATAATTCAACCATATTTAATTTTGAGGTTAAAACAAGGATTATAAATTGTTATAGAAATAATTGAAAATATTTTATATATGATTAACTTATGATTTGCAATTTATTTAAAAATAGAGATAATTAAATAAGTAAATATGATAAAGAATCTAATATATTTAATCCTTTTTTATCTAAAACCTCAAATATTATATATAGGTATTTAGTATTATGAAACATATTTAAATATAATTCATATATATTCTTGTTATATATATATATAAAGCGTGGTATTATGTAAATTATTTACATCTATATTATACATTTAATATTTCAAAAATTTAAGTTTGAAAATATTGTCACGTAATTTTCTTCTAGTATTATAATTCAATTATCATGAAATTTTTATAAAATTCTTATATACAATAATTATATAACAAAATATTATATAATATAATATTATGTATATGCACATGAATGAAGACACATTGTTTATTATAATTGTTAACTATTTTTATATATAAATCTATACTAAAATATAAAATTTGATATGAATATTAGCATATTTAAATATGTGTAAATTAAAATATTGTTTACATATTAACAATAATATTTACAGTTTATTTTCATACCAATATTAACAGTTAATTTATAATGTATATTAATAATATTCATCTTGAGTACAATATTATTATGTATATCTTACAAAATAATATATAAAGAACTAAAACAAAACCAAAAAGAAAACAAAATTGGGTAAGCATAAAAAATAAAACATAAAATATTTCAATTTTCTTCCCACAGGCATTATGGAAACACACATGGAAAATCAAATATTTTAACATCAGGTGATTTAACATCTTTTATGTATCAGGTAGCAAAAGGAATGGATTATCTTACATCAAGGGGGGTAAGTTTTATTTCTTTTCTATTATATGGGTACATACAGTTATTTTTATAAAAGTATATAACTAAAATATACTCTAGTAAATTTTTATATTCACGATGTGATATTATAATCAAAAAAGAAAATTTATTCATAGATTTACTTAGGGTATGTAAACAAATAAATTTTATTTGAAAATTCATAAACCAGAGGGGTTTCAAATGTTACATGAAAATGGAAAATTTGTTTTCTTTTGGGCAATATTTTAAAAGAAAACTTTCAATGATTCAAAAATTCTTTGCAACATTGATATTTTACAATATTATTAAAAAAAACAATATACTTGATTTATAAATAATATTGAATGCTATTCGGTAAGAATTAAGACTGGAATATTTGAGACATTATGATTTAATTTGGTCAATTCAAATACAGACAAATTAAACGAGACTCACAAATTTCTTAAAATTTTTGTTAAAATTGCATAAGTTCTTCATCTAATTTATTTTCTAAATTAAATAATTTAATTTTTCCCGAAGAAATTCCCGCAATAATTCCGTAAAAATGTTTTGATATTTCCAAAACTTTTCTAGGTTGCTTAATGATTATTCACAGCTGTAGAAATGTAGCTTTGTCTGTATGTATACAGCTTGTTTTACTTGAGATTGAATTATATGTGTATAACAGAAACACAAAACATGTACATATATTATACATATATATCATGTATTACACTAAATTCACACCATTTGAAATATCAATTTTTCGTATTATTTGTATTTTTTAAAAATTATGAAAAACTCTTTATGAAAAATTATGTTTATGCCACAAGTTGTACGTTACTATGTCGAACATGTAAATCGACATTTGACACTCACTTCATTATTACAGCGTACAAAATGTCTGATCAAAACTGACATTCTATTTACATTATAAAATTAGGATTTGCATCACTGTAACTTCTTAAAATTATTTCAATTTACGTTTTGTAAAAACAGACTTGCCGTTTTGGCAATTCAAAAAATGAGACAATTGAAAAAGTTAATTATTAAGTTATAACTTTGCTATTTTAACGTATAACTTAATACTTACTTTAATATTATTCAATTGCATCAAATATGGAACTGTAAAGAAAATTTAGAGATTTTTAATTTTCGAATTTACACGTACAATGATTTGTGAATAAATCAAAACTAAATTAGTCTGTTCCGTGTAAGTACCTCATTTCGCTGCATTTCTGTTATTATTGTGACAGCTTTGTTATACGTATAACAAAAATGGAGAATTGTATATAAGTCACAAATTTCTTGTAAATTTTTACTCTGCCCATCCGTTCCTCGTTCCATCTTTAAGTAAGTTTAAAAAAAACTTCTACACATTTTAAAAAAGAACGCAAAAATTCTACATACAATCAAATCTGTTCTATTTCTAAATCTATTTCTGTAAAGTGTAGATGACATTTTTTTTAAATCCTTCCTATAATTTTGTTTTCTTATTCAAAATGAATAAGATCTTTTTTTTCTTATGCAATAATTTGCTATTTTTTGGTATAAAAGAAAAAAGTAATTTGATAAGAATAGACTTATTTTCACTTGTTCAAAAGAGACGTGGTTCCAATTTATTAAGCTATTAATGTCTCATATTCATAGTTAAAGGAGACTCCGGAATAAGTTCCCGTTTTCAAAATAAACATTATGATTTGTTAGTTTTGAATTTGTTGGTTAAAAGAGATCGAAATTTTGAAATTTATACAGAATGATAAACAAAAAAGATCTTACAAGATATTAAAATTTTTTCACCGAACTTTTATATGCAACATAAATTTTTTCTTAAATGATATTAATATGTCAACAACATGGCAACTTTTAAATTTTTTATAACCACATGTATGTCGTTACAAGATTATTAAAGTAAATTTAATATATATATATATATATATATATATATATATATATATATATATATACACATATTATGTGATCATTTTAAGAAAATGATTTAAAAGATATTTTTTGAATAAATTTATTTTCAAACACTATCAAATAGACATAAATGTACCACATCATAAGCTTTGTATATGTATGTATATACACAAGATTTATATATTATATTATGTTGATATGATATACAAATTGTAACTATAAAAAGAATATGTTTAAAATCCTTTTTTGATATTGAGTGGTAACAGAATATTTTATTGATTGTTATAGACATAGTACTCATATTACTCTTATTCTTATAGTTCTGTACTAGTATTTGTATATGTTCTGTACCCTATACATACATTAGTAACTATATGCCTGTATATACAAACATGTAACACTGAGTACTTATTGCAAGAAAATGTTTGCTTCTTTTATTATTTTCGGTTTTTTATTTTGTAACATCAATATACTCGTACAATCTGTATCTATATGTATGAATATTTTCTTAGGACATTATTTTGTATATGAATTTCCAATTTAAAATTTTGTAATAAAATATAAATTGTATGCGTTTTATTTTCTTGTCTTAGCAATTTATTTTTGGTTTTTTTATACTGTATACTTTGAATTTAGAATTAGTTTTTCAGACCCGGAAATAATTTTCAAGAATTACTTGAGATTATAAAGCGTGCTTTTAATTCAATTTGTTGTTTTATATTTTATGTTATAGAGAATATAATGAAATTACTTAAATATTATATACTTTATATAATAAAAGCAAATTAAAAATTGATTGAAAACTTGAAAACTGAAAATGACTACTATTTTTAAAATTGATTTAGAATGATAGACTTTGAATTTTAATATTGATTAAAAGAACCCTAATTTTAATAATCTTTTTTTATAGAATTAGCTTTAAATTTAAAGATAACGTTATTTAAAATTATTTTAGAATATAAATGAATATATATTAGAGGAGCTCCTGTGTAAATTGATTAAACTTTTCATTACATTTGCCTTCAATTGCAGTGCTCAAAGAATGCTGGAATTTACCAATATTTAATTATAGTTTCCTTTAAATTAAATGATGAAATAAAGAAAAAAATGAGTAGTAGAAGAAGAACTGGCTAACTTTTTCGAACTATGTATACAATTTTGATTCATATAAAAGTAAGAAAAAATATTAGGGAATTGTTATGTATTATTTTTTGAATTAAGTAATTATACAATAAATGGAAAATCTTTTCTTATTTAATATAACCACTTGAGCTTGGTATTATACAAAATTTTCATCTTTCACTATAATTTCTCTCAATTTGGATTAAAAGCATCAAATTTGAATGGTGAACAGAAAGAACATAAGCAACGATCCCGTTACATAGTTTCGGTCAAAATTATTTCCTTTAAAAATTGTCATATTATCACAAAATTTATCTTGCTATTTTTCTGACATAATATGGAAAAGAAAACGCTTAATCCGTGTAAAAAATATATGAAAAATTAAAGAAACATATATAAATATATATGTGTATAAATAATTTTCTACATAAGGATAACATTTATTATTAACCTTTTTATTTTTTCTTTTCATTTTATTTTTCAGTCCCTATATCTTATAAATATTATTATTATCATTGTTATAATCATTATTATAATCAGTACCTACTATACTGCTGTGATTTTATAATTATTATATCACCATCACTATAATAACACGCCATATTTGTATGGTCTTTATTTATTATTATTTTTTTATCACAATTTTTATACTCCCAGAAAGGATCGCATTTAAATCTTTATGTTTTAAATTCTTAAACGGATTTTAACGATTAATAGAGCATGAATATGCCAAGATGTACATATGTTTGTATATATATGTATAATATGTAGCGATTTATTAATACATGAGATCGTATATTTTTAAATATTATTTATACATGTTCATACATATATAATTATGTAGGTACAACATAACACACATTTTGATGATATGGTCATGCTCATAATTACCGGATATTTTCTGTGAAAATTTGCATAAAAAACAGGTTGCAAACTCATATAAAATTTTGTTCTTCCTCTTTCAAAAAAAAAAAGGAAAAAATAAAAATTGAAATATACAAAATTATTTCAGTTTCGCGTGTATGTCATACACATATTCAATTATACATGTGTATAATAAAACTGAGTATAATACCTACAAGTTTATGGTTTAAAGCGATTATCGGACTGATTATTATCGTTGAATAATAATAAAATTTGCAGGAAAAGAAGAAAAAAAAAATACTAAAACTGTTATATGTTATCAACTTAAATTTTTTTACAGTTATTATAAACTAATGACACGCTGAAATTAAAATGTGTGAAAAATAATAACATATGACACAATATAATTCACTGCTAAATATAGGTATAAAAATTTTGAATTTTTGTACCCTGAAATATATTTAAAATTGGCACCCTTTCAGAATGACAAAATAAGATCGTGGGACAAAACTAAACAGTTTGTTATCTTTTCTTCACCAAAAACCATTTAATTGAGCTTAAAATATTATAAAAAAAAAGGCTATAATATTGTAAAATAAATAACAAAAATACAGAGAACCTTAACAGCACAGATAGACATGAAATTTTTACTTTTACAACTGTTTGATTGCTTTCAAACATTCCATGTAATTTTTTATAAACTGTAAAATTGACGCAGTAGTTTAGTTGCGCAGATATGCTCGCAACGATTTTGCAATCAAGTATAGTAATTGAAAAACTGAAAATTGTATGTATGTAAGTTTGAGCTCTGAGAAAACATCCTGGATGTCACAAAACAAATTTAAATTCTCCAATTAAATATTACTCGTATTCCAAATAAGATTTGACGAATAATTTTCAAGATTTGTCTTTTAAAAATTTACGAAATTTTATTTTGTACTGATTTTGATAAAAAAATTCTTTGTCAAAGCGAGATCTATGACTACATTGGCTGCAAATATAATTAATATGAACCACAATCCTTTTCTTTTAACCAAGGATTTCTAGAAGAATTTTCTTCTTTAACCCAGCATTCTTAATGTATACTAAGTTTTCCAAATTATACAAAAATTTCCTATTTATGAGGGTTGTCAGATAAACATATAGGTAAGAATATACAAAATTATTTCAGTTGTATCACAATTTCTAAACTATAATGTAATTTTAAGCATACTCCGCAAATTCTACGGGAACAAAATATTTTTTACTTCATATTTAAATTGAAATTACTCCATTTACGATGCTCCTCGAACTCATCTTTAATATTCGATAATTATAAAAAATTCTAAGCTCTTGATATTTCCGATACTACATTTTCGTCTCTATTCGTATAGAAGATGTTGTTAATAATTGAAATTTTTATGAATAATAATTGGAAATATTATAATAATTTTTAAAACTTTATATAATATTAACCTACTGGCTGCAAATACAAAAACTTTTATTTTTTTTTTTAATTAATTTTATTCATAAAAAAGGATTAAAATATGACAATTTTATTATGATTAAGTACCCATAATGCACGGCTTTTTTTTGCTTCATATTAATTAATTAAAATAGATTATTCATATTAATATGTATATACATATATATATATATACATATATACCTCTATGTATAACTATATAAAAATCCGTCAAAATATAATTATTTGGACACTTCGTTATACTCTATCGGAATATTTCAATTCAATTATAATAATTTCAATTCTTAAATAATTCAATTGTAATAAATCATAAAATTTATAATTAAAATTAATGATAAAATTTTAAATAAAATCCTAAAAAAAAAAAACAAAAAAAAAGCAAAATTGAAAAATTATCTTTAAATTATAAGATTAAAATATTGTAATCCATTAAAAATTATATTTACGTAATTAGATCATTATGTAATTATATATGCGAAAGTTATTCGCAAATAAATCAGTATTATGGATCTATACCTCTTAGTACATTTGCATGAAATAGTTTCCATCGCTTCGGCATTTAACTGAAAACACCATTCAAAATCGGATTTGCCAATTTTTCTTGTTTTTCTACAGCAATCGAATTAGTTTTTTTTAATACAGACAAGAGATTTTACGATATTTTCTACATGCTTAGTATATAATCACTTGCGAAATGAAATATACTTAAGCTCAAACTTGCACATTTTATGAAGTTCTATAAAGTCAGTGTGTTTTTGAATCGGTACTGCAAAAAGTAGCGCGTTTTTGATTTTATAGCTGTAGAGAAACTGCAATCTGTTGTAAAACACTGTAACAAATACTGTAAAAATAAAAGAAAGCTTAAAAACTTCTGAAAAATTTTAATTTGTTAAGAAATAACAATAGGCTTTATTAAATAAAAATTGTAAGTCAGATTTTCTAATTTTTTTGAAAAAAATTGTGACATTATGCCTGAAACTAGTGAGAATATGTTAGTAGCTGCGTAATTTTATTCATATAAAAACTAAATTAAGTCTATATAGCAAATTTTATCTGTTTTGCCAATGAAGCTCCCCCAACAAATTTTTAAACACAACATTTCAGATAGTACAATAGTCATCATTTAAATTTAATAAATTTTAAATATTTTTATTAAAATCATAAGAAAATGTAAAATTGTTTTATAGATACAATAAATAACCAAATTTTTTCATCCATGAAAATCAAGTACTTTAAAATGAATTTTATAATTGAAAAAAAAAATAATAATATTTTTACTTCAACCACAAATTTGATTCTTAAAAAATATACAAAATTTTATACCACAAATTCTTCGACACAAAAAATAAATATTGTGAACGGCAATTATAAAAAAAAAGAAAATGAAAAACTTCCTAAAGAAAAGGAGAAATATTGTTTCTTTTTTTTGTTTTACTTTTTTCACAAAATTTTATTTTTAAGAAAAATATTCTTAAGGACAATGAGCATAAAATAATATCAGGATAATAACGACAAATTTTCACTAACTTCAAATCTTAATTAAGTTAAATTAAAGAAAAGAAATCTTCAATTAAAACTTTAATTAGCCCTGTAATGTTTTTTTTTTTTTTACGAAATAAAAGATTTTATTTATGTAGGTATTTATAATTATGTATGTATACACTATGTAGCGTAACAATATTTTATATATTATAACTGGTATATAAAAATGTTATCAATGCTGGTATGTTTTTTATAACGACGAACAAAAAACAAAAAAAATAAAAGAAATTTTTTTCCCTACTTTTTTTAATGAACCAGCAGGTGCCACAATGTTTAACTTCTTCAAAAATTTCGGAAGAATGAGCAAAAAGACAAAAAAAAAGAGACAAAAGAAAAAAAAGAGTTTACGATCATGTGCTTATATGCATGAGTATTCTTATGAATGTATGTGTGTGTGTGTGTGAATATAGCGTACACAACATACAGAAACATAAAAACTTTTAATTCATCGCGTTGTTGAACTTTTATATTTTCCTTTATTTTTTCTTATTTTTTGTTTTGTTTTCTGTTCTTTTCAATGTTTCAACATTTTTTACACTTTGTAAATTAAGAGAAAATAACAGTAACTTACACCTGCCATTTTATTCTATTAGTCTAATAATATACAGTTATAAGTGATGTGGAGTGTAACTTTATTTTTTGCTGTGTTCTTGTTTTTTGGTTTCGTTTTTTTTTGTCAAAAACAAAATTTTTTTTTTTTTTATGTTGAAATTAATGTAAATGAAACATTGTACCTTAGAAACTGTAAAATATTCATTCGTATATGGTTGGTGTCTATTGAAAAAAAATTTTTTTGACATTCATTGTTGTTTTTTTTTTGGTTTTTGCAACATTTGAAAAGAATTGAAAGTGAATAAATGAACTTAAATAGTAAAAACTGAAACGGGAATAGTCGTGGTGGTGGGTAGAGGAGGAAATAATATACAGATATGTACTAAAAATATTATAATAATTTTAAAAATGATTCAAAACTTTTTCTTTTCCATATTCGTGCTATGTTGTATGGATGCCAAATGTTATAGGGTATGAATATTTTCATTTACAGAATGCTATTATGCAACTACAAAAAAGTTATAATTAACTTTAATAAATTTGAAAATTAAACTTTATGTAACTACTCGTATATATATGAATAACACTACAAAAAAAAAATAGCTATTCAAAATTTTTTTGATTTATGTTAAAAAAAAAATGCTCTGAATGCAATAAATTTGAAAAATAATGAATTTAAATTAAAGAACCTTTTAAGGATTCTGATAAAATGTTCATACATAGATTAAGATTTTTATATAAAATTTTATATTTTAAATTAATTTTAAACAAACTATGCATGTGTATGTATTATATGGAGTGGCCTGACAGCCCTTTACCGGGTAGTCTTCTCACCGTCTCCACAAAATTGGCACAAGGGAGAGTCCGATTTCCACAACAACAAATCCACAACAAATCCGCGCTTAACTATACCGAGCGTGATAGCAGAAACACCTACGCATGACGTCAATCTTTTCTGTTCAATCAAGGTTGAATTCTGCACCAAGCAGGCATGCAAACCTGGCTTCCACAGACAAAGGCAGCCCACACAAAGGCAGCGGCCGCACAAACTATCCTTCAGATCCTTTCCGTGCCTACGTGATAGCTAAGACTATTTTAGCTATGATCAATATGAAAAACTCAATTTAATTATTGTTTATAGCACATTATTTTCTTAATATTAATAAAAATTTAATTTAAATTTATTGAGTAAAATATATTGACTATTTTCGGAGAAACTAATGATTTATTCATATTCAATTTTAATGCTTAATCAATATAACAAAACTTTAAATCAGTAAGAGTAAATTTTTTTTTATAACTGAGTAAAATAGATTGGAAAGAAAATCAAACTACTTAATCGGCATCTACTTTAATCAAAAATTAGCTACCTTGCACGCAGGAGCCTCTTAAATAATCATGAAATGTAATCGCAATTCGTGCAATAGTAATGAAAACTACAGTTAATAATTATGAAAAAGTAAGATAAGATCGCCCAGTTTCACTGCGATTCAATTGAAAATATTTAATATTGAGGCTATAGAATATGCTCATATTGCAAGCGAATATTATTTAAAACTGTTAACCAATATTATATAAAAATAGGATAAACACAAAATTTTATACATAACAACTTGCGTCCAATCCTCGTCGTTTAAAAAAAACACAACGTTTTATGAAAATAAATTTTCAAAATGTATTTGGTACCACTTTTGGTTTCTAACTCATACGTATAACCTAATGACCGCTTAAATATTTAATATTAAAAAAAAAATAAAAAAATCTTAAATATTTTACACATTTAAATAGCAGCAGATTTTTATAAAAATAACTGTATGACTTTCAAATATTTTTAGTCTAATCCATTATAATATTTTCATAACACAAATTTTGTTATCACAAAAGATAGATTTATTACATTAACTCCATAATATATTTTGTATGTTTTTAAATTTATCTTGAAATATAAATTTTTTTTTTGTTTGTAACGAGCACGAATTTATAAATGAAACAAAAGAAAAAATGCAAAAAAAAAATAAAAATATTTCCAAGAAATTTGAAAATGGTGAAAAGTAATTTTAGCTAAATTTAAATTCCTTTTACATTTTACTCCATTTTTTATTTTGTACCTTAACTGTTAACGCGTATCATACACACGTGTATACAAGTACACTTAATATACATACATTACAAAGAGTTCTCCATTTCACTATGAATTTGTTCCTTTTCAGAAAAAAAAAATGCTAAAAAAAACGAGCGTTGTTTATTATATTTTATTTTTGTTCTTCATTTCATTCTTATATTTTTATAATTTTTTATTTTATTTTTTTTTTTTTTCACTTTATTTCAGATAATTCACCGGGACTTAGCAGCAAGAAATATTTTGATAACTGACGATCATACGTGCAAAATAGCTGATTTTGGATTTGCACGTGATGTAATAACATCAAAGATTTACGAAAGGAAAAGCGAAGGAAAACTCCCAATCAGGTAAGAGTATAGAATTATAAAATTTGCAATATGAAAAATAAAAGAATTTAAATTTAAAATGCTAGAATCATTGCACAAAATAAAGGTGCTCCTTTATCACATACATTTATATACTATGTGTACGATTGTGTATACACAATATATTACATAAAATATCATGTACATATTGTATGTAACGATAAGTTAAAAATATAATGATGTAAGTAAAAAAGGAGCATTATCAATAAACAAGAAGTAACATCAAAAAGTGAAAAGAATAAATTATAAATTTAGTTTATTACATAAGATTATTAATTTTTTAAAAGACAAGTAAATTTCGTAAAGTTTGTAATGTTTGTCTGGCAATGAATAAAAATTTTATACAATAAATTTACAATTTAATGGCCTATAAAATTATTCGGCTTGACCATTCCTACTGGATAATTTTTTAAAATTTTAATATCAATATTAGCTACATTAAAACCTTATTTAAATTAATAATGGCTATTCGTGATAAGATTTTAAGCTTTAATTTTAAATAACAATGAAAAAAGTGTTTCTTTTATTCCTTAAGAGTTGGTAATACTAATGTCAAATTAAATCTCATATGTTCGGAAAATCAATGATTTTCGTTTCAAAACTTTGAAACTATACGAGACTCAAACAGTATGCAATTTTACAATTTGCTATTATTTTCAAATTGTGTGTGCTTTTTTTGTCTAAGTGCCATTACGGATTTGTTTTAACTACGTCACTACACCCGAATATGATGATTCCATTTTGTCACATAATTGAAAACAAACCAAATTATTTCATAAAAGGCAAATATTTCGGTTATTTAATTTTGATTTTAATTTCTTTCAAATAAAGCTGCAGAACATAAAGCAAAAATAATATTTTCGCGTAGTATTCCATTAACAATTTTCTTTTTCCCTTTTTTTTTCCTTCTTAATATTCTCTTTTAACTTTTTTTCTTTTCTACACGTAATTTTGTTTTATTTTTCTTTTATTTCTTCTTTTTTTTGTTTCTTTTTTTTTTATTTTCACCTTATTTTTTTATTAAGCGGGACTTGTTATTGGGTTCTCGATTATAAAACAAAAATTACCGTTTTCCTCGTTAACAGAAGAAAAATAAACTTGATTCAAACCAATGGTTTGCAAAGTAGCACTTTTTCCCTGAACAGGTGAAATTTGTTTTTTGAAAATCAAAGAAGAAACTAAACTTATACACAATTTAAAGAAAAAAATTATTGCATATTTTTAGGGGACAAAAAAAAACAAAAAATTAAAAGAAACGTTAAAATTATTGACAAACTCAACGAATAATTGGAAGAATTTAAAAATTTAATATTTTTTAATGCAGGAACACTTTTTTACTTTATGGAAATTTGAAAAAGCTTGTCTTTTCTAAAAAACATGAAACCGAGAATTGAAATTTTGTTAATTGAAGCTATTTATTTTGGGAACAAGAAAAATTGAAAGAATTATGTTCCAATTAAGCAAATCTTGCATCTATACAAACGGTTAAAATCTTACCTTTCTGCAACCCATCTCCTGAGAAATAAACCATAGAAAAAGAGAGCAACGCCGTTTTGCGATAGAAGACACAAGTGGTTATTTTACAAATCCTTTTAATAGAATTATTATCAAAGCTAGAGAAATTAGTTTCTCTAATACACGTATAGACAATTATAGCTTTCTATTTTAAATAGTGCGGAAGTCATATAAATAAACGCACGAACGGTCAGACAGCCAGACAAACATACAAAATGAAAATAATATTTTTTACTTTTGTTTCAAAAAATGCTAAAAAGGAAATTTATAACTTTGATGGTATCCGTAACGATAAACACAAAACATGTCAAAGAATTCAAATGGGAATTTAGATAATAACTAAAGAAGAAATTTGCAAAATAAGCGAAAATAGATACGAAATAAATTGAAAATTGAAAAACAAAACGAAGAGAAAAAATAAACAGAATTAAAAAAGGATATATGAATGGATTACTTTTAAGCTGATTGAGGTTGATGGTAAATTTTCAAGAAGTTTAAGGGGAAAATAAGAAAATGTTTTCCAAGTCCATTTTTTTTTTTAATTCAAAAATTTTGTGTTCATGATCATAGAAATATTAAATTAAATTCGTTAACTCTAAAAAGAAACTAAATAAAAATTCGAAATGTTGGGAATTTCATCTAATTTTTGATTCATTAAAATATGACGGTATGACATAAGACATATCATAAATATCTTGCCATATAACGCAATTCCAAAAATAAATTTTTTTAAGCAGGATTCATACTTGAAAATATTAAATTGAAATTAACATTATTTAAAAATTTTAAAATAGTGGACAACTTTAATAAATTCGAACAGAGTTTCAAAAAAACTCTTCAACAAGTTCATTCTGTACAACTTAATTATTCAGACTACTTAATTATTATTGATATTCATTATTCAGCGAGGAATAAAATGGATAGAAATAAGATGAAAATTTGCATAAGATTTTAAAAAAATTTATTTTAGCAGCACATTTCCAAAAAAATATTTGAGAAAATTTTCTTAATAACTTTATTTCTTACGTTCTCCGTTCATAAAACTTCGAAATAGCAAGTGAGCAATTTTCAAATTTGTAAATACGAACATGTTTAAGAGGTAATAGCTATGTCGAATATGAAATACATATATATTAAAGAGTCCCCTTAAATTAGGCGTTATTTTGCACTGATATGATTTTAGTGTTTAAATTTATTTCACTCAGCATAATAACTGGAAGGGGTTTCAAATTAAATTTTATTGAACATGTACACAAAAGTATTCAAATTTTTATCACTTTGAAATATCTCCTAAATGTATGCAATATAACTAGTTATAAAAGAATTACATTCGTTAAGCTTTGTTTTCATTATTTAGACTTGCACCGATTAGTTTTGTAACTTAAACTGTGAAAAGAAAATGTGCTATTTTGTAAGGCATAGGTTTAGCAGACATTTACATTTTTTATTATTCATATTTTGATTTTTTGAGATAATTCAAATTAGTTCTAAAATAAGTAGCTTTATAGTCAACTAATCCTTGTTAAATCTTTTTTTGAATTTTCATTATTTACGTAGCTAGTATATTTTTTAGTTCTTACTTTTTTTTTCTGATTTCAAAATAAATCCAATCATCAAAATAAATAATGTCCTTTTATTTTTCATTTGAAATCCTCTACAAATAATTCATTTTTTTGTTGTTGTAGCTTCTATATAAATCCAGTAAAATATTCATTGAATTTCTTAAAAAAATTTTCAAAATTTTTTGTGTATCTTTCCTTTTTTCCCCAAAAATAAAAATGCAAAATGGAAAACTAAGAAAATAAAAAAAAAAACAAGAAAAAACAAAAAATGAAAGAAATAAATTCAAATTTTTAGTTATTATTCTTTTGTGAACATAAGTCAGATTTTTAATTGGTTTTTAATCTCTTTTTGCCCAAATTATGATGGTAATTAACTTTGTATGACCTAAAAAAGAAAACAAAATCCGAAAGTATGATATAGAAAAGAAACAAAAGAATGAAAAAAATAAAAAATACAAAAGAAAATAAATTGAAACAAAAACGATCTCAAGTACATTTTAAATATTTATATTTGTAAATTCAGTAGCTTTACAAGGATTCCAGAATAATAAAAATGGGAACTAAATTATAATAGATCAAGATTAGATTTGAATAAAAAATTTTTTTTGCATTTTTTTATTTTCTTTTTCAAAAACCATCGAAAATTCTATTAATATTCTATCGAAAATCCTTTAAAATAAAGGCAAAACAAAAAAACAAAACATAATGGAAAATTGGGGCAGAAAAAAAAACTTAAACCAAAAAGGCGTCAGGATCAAGGGATAAGAGTGAAAATTATGATGAAAAAAAAAACTTATTTTTCAATTTATTTCTCATAAATCAAATAAAAATTCTCATTTTAATTTTTAACAGTTCACACAATTATTTAAGAAATATTTTTTGGAAGAAGGACAGAATTCACTATCCCAATTGAGTAAAACATCAAATAACTATCTATACATATTTTATAGGATGGAAAATCTGAATATATAAAGCCATATTTTTTGGAGAACGTGAAAAGAATACCATATAGACATGAGATTAATCCTAGATAATCGTATTTTAATTTGAATTTATTTTGTTTTTTTCTTTGCATTTTTTTATTTATCTAGTTATTATCCTTTTATGTAACATTAATTTGGTAAAAAAAAATTAAAGGAAATTTATTCATTATTTTTAATTTGTTAGACTGTCTGGCTTCTCCTACTCTATAAAAACTTATGTATATGGTGCAAATACATATTTTGTGATTTCAAATTCAATTTAATTTTTACCCTTCTTCCACACGGAGTTTATATTCAATCATGTATAAGAACTCATACACCATTATTAATGAATTTATCTGGACAAAATATTTATCGGATATTTTAATATTTTTTTTTTGCCTTCTCCCTTATTTTTTAATTTTAATTATCGGATTCAATCTGATGTAATTTTTTGAGTGATTTTTTCAATACCACACATTTTACCACTTGTAACGCCTATTTTCGTAAATCAGGTAGTTTGTATTTTAATCGAGTTATTATTTGGTTTTTTCGAATTTTTCGTAGTAGATGAAGAGAGAATTGCAATAATGCATAATATTTACTGAAATATTGATATTCGGTGCATTAATAGAATAAATTTATATTTTTGATGGAATTTTTAAAATTATTATTGTAGCCGACCCTCGTATATTTTTTAAAAAATTTCGAATAACTGTAGAAATTCTAGAATTATTTTTTATTCCATTCTGTTTTCAAAGAAGAAATATTATAAAAAAACACTAACCCATGTAGAATTGTGTACAGTTTGAGAGCCGTTAACAAGTTAATTCCGAGAACATAAATTTCAATTAAATTATATATGTATATATGAGATGTGTATATGTATATTTTCATATAAAATACTCAATTTGTATACTCAATTTGATGGAATATTTGACTACGTATTTCAGGAATTAACTGAAACTTCTCTATTAAAATGCACTTTTGTTTTAAAACATTGAGTTAGCCTGTAAGATATTGATGAAACTATAAGAGAAATAAAATAAATTTTTAGTTTTCAATTTGCTGGAGGATGCGAAGTACCAAAATTTTAATACATGTTCAAGTGGAATTCTTTCATTTTATTACCACCTTGATATTTTTTTCTTTGAAATTTTTAAAACGTGCACATTTTCCTCTTCTTTTTTTACACATTTTATAATAAATTGCTTGTTACATATATACAAACATATTGTGCAATAAAATGTATGGATATGTGCAGATGTTAGACTACATTTTATTTATATTTTTTATTTCAGTTTAATTTAATTTTCTGTATTTTTGTTTTTTCTTACTTTTGTAGATGGATGGCTATAGAATCACTTTATGATAACATATTCTCTGTTAAATCGGACATTTGGAGCTTTGGAATACTAATGTGGGAAATTGTTACTTTAGGTTCTACACCATATCCTGGTATATCAGCTGCAGATGTTATGCGAAAGGTAAAAAAAATAAAATAAAAACAAGTATTTTCGACCAAAATCATAAATGATGGAAAGGATATTTGAATGTTCCCAAAAGGATACTTAATTGAAGTCATTTTGCCTCTATATATATTTATTTTTTTTTATTTGTATCCTTTTTTTTTAGTTTTTATTTCATTTAATATTTTTTTGATGTGTAGAATTTAAATTCAAGGATGAGTTTTCGAAAAAAAAATAAAAAATTATTCTCAAAATGTTGTCCTAAAGGACTATAAATTTGATATTCAAAAAAAAAAAACAAAAATTTAACTACAATCAATCCAATAGTTTCAGTTTCTAATCTTGATGTTAGAATAATAAATATTTTAATTCTTTGATCTTTTAATTTGCAAAATCAAGGGCTGTTATCATATTCAAATGTGATTACAGTAAGGATTAAATATGAATTTCAAAACATTTTTAGAGCTCTTGAATTTAAAACTTCTACAATAACAATTTTTAGATGCATTCCAAAGAAATTTTTCTCTCCCGCAAATATTGCTGTCTTTTACTCTTCTACTATAACAATTTTCAGATGCATTCCAAAGAAATTTTTCTTTACACATATTTAGCTGTCTTTTACTCTGTTACGTAATAATTTTTTATTCTCACATTTAATTCTCCTCAATTCAAACATTAAACAACCTCTGTAACTTGACGAGAGCAAAATATTTTGTATTCTTCTCTTGTTTACTAATAAAAGCAGCTTTAATTGAACCATCCTTTGAGCAATTGGAATCAAATCGAAAAAATATGTTATTACATAAATATGTATGTATGTGTATCAAAAAAAGTTCTTACTTTATAAGCTTACGTAGTTTTACATACTAATTTTTCCTATTTTTTTTTTTTAAATTTTAAAAATTCTAAAATAGCAATTTTATTGTACACTTTTGTATCGTTCTAAACGACTCAATTTTATCTTGAGTTTTTATTTTTCCTTTTCTTCCTTGTCAATTTTTGATCATTGATTTTTGCTGATGCTCTATTTACCATTACGTTTGCACAACTTTAAATTTGTTGTGTAACATAATAACATTAAACCTTAAATATGTTGTTATTGGTTGAACATAGTGTGTATGTATGTTTGTATGTACGTTTGTACTAATATGTGCTGGCATAACTATTTTATACATACAAAAATATTCTTTCAATGTTGCATTTTCTATTCTTTGCAAGCAATATATAACAGTTTGCATAATCACATAATCGCATGTATATATACATATATTTTAATATTATATATGGTATACCTTAAAAAAGTATATGTATGTATATATAAAAAGAGAACTAAGCTTAGAAAGAGCAAAAAAAAAATCTGATGTGATCAGCACATAACCGACCGCATTGTATATTGTCTAGTTAAGTGAAAGGGTTGCAGAATATTGTAAAAATGTCTTTTAAATACTTCTTTCCAATTTTTGGGGCATTAGTAACCTTATAGTTAACATACCTAGAAAAATGTAAATTTGGCTCTTAGTAGAGTTTCGCTTTGTGCTACCCGAATTCCAGAAACACTCGCCAGTTAACCAGAACTCAAATATTAAATTTCAAGAAATTCCATCAATTCGTTCCGTAGATATGGTGAAAAATGTAAAATCGGCCCGCAAATCAGTTTTCGAGCCCTGATCTTTCCAAAAAATTTCTATGTTCATTGTTTTAATACGAGGAATTCCAATATTAAATTTCAATGAAATCGGTTGATTATTTCTCTTTATATACGGAAAAATGTATATTTTACCCGTAGTAAACGCCCAGTTGCTGATGCCTGATTTCTTCCAAAAGTTAGGAATTTTTGCGTATGATCGAGCAAAGCTTATATATGAAATTTCAAGTAAATCGGTTGAATATTTTCTTCAAAATGTTTAAAAATGTAAAACAGGACCGCTAAAAAGTGCAGTTCCCGAGGCCTGATATATCTCAAAATTTGATCAATCCGTGCCATGGTGGAAATAAACTTACATATAAAATTTTATCAAAATCGGTTCAGCAGAACTTGAGATACACGCGTGCACACACAGACCGACAGACCGACAGGTTGCTGAAAATAGTTTACGTACACTTCCCTACTATGGAGAAGTGCATGCCCACCGAAAACTCGATATGCAAAATTTGTTGCCATCACATAACCTACCTATTGTTTACACAATACGGTCGGTAAAAATATAGAAAATTATTGAGAATAGGAACAAAATCATATTAAGTGGTATAATGGAAAATAATATACAAACGAGAATTAAAAAAAAGAAAAAAATTCATACATAAGTATCCTTGCATCTACTTTGGTTTGCTTGCTTTATATATATACTTTACTCATACATAATATACATATACTCGTACATGTATGTTCTGATTCATAGTGTATTCGGAGATAAGTTGTTGATGTTTTATGACTACGAAATTAATAGTTGAACACAAAGAATATACATACAGATGTATATATATATACATGCTATTAGAAAATAAAGGATATTAAAATGTAGGAATAGTGGTATAGAGGTAATAACAGCAATAAGTCTGTTACGTCAAAAAAGGATTCTCAACAAACCAAAATAAAATAAAAAGAAAGAAAAAAGAATAAATTTTCTCTGAACTAACTTAGAATATGTGTATACGATGTTGTAGATAAATCGACATCAATGTTCTGTTATACATGTAAAGACTTTCATGTTTCCTTTTCGTTGCAAAAAAAAGAAAACAAAAAAACCAAAAAAAAAAAAAGAGACAAAACATAATAAAAACAATGACAATTTTTACTAAACCTTTTCGATAATTCGTGTTTTGCTACATATTATGTCCTGGATGTCCTCTTTTTGTATACCCTTTATCATATCTTCAATATAATATTATACTTGTATATATTTTGATTTCTATTATTTTTACTTCCTTTGTATTAATGTATATAATATTATGTCCTTGTTGTTATATGAAAATTGTAATAGTACCTTTTTTTTTCTATTTTTCCCTAAAGAGCTTAAAAATTTTGCTATACATATAATATGTATACTTAATATAAATAGAAAGATAGTAGTTAAATCTTGTAAAATTGATAAATTGTCAACTATATACAAAATGTTATAGTACAATATAAGGACACATAATGAATGTAATATACAGTGTTGCATGTATTGCTCATGAACATAATTATTATGTGTAATAATTAGCACTTTTCCAAAAAATTTTTTTAAAAAAGTGCTTATTAGTTTCACTCTGTCCGTCCGTCCGTTCGTCCGTCCGTGGACACTTTTTTTGTTTACAAAACTTCTACACCCTTGAAGATAGAAAGCTGAAATTTTATATGTACATAGATCTTTACTAGAAACTTACTTCCGTAGAACAAAATTTTTACCTATCTCCCCCTCTAGAAGTTATACCCCCCCAAAACCTTAAAAATGGCCTTTTTTAACTATTTGTTGCAATGAAACCATAAGCATTTTTGAAATTTTGCAAACGCAGAAAGGCAGTGACTTGCTTCCCCTTGCGCCGTATACTACAGTTAAACTTTAGAAAAACAAAATGACCGTTCAAATTTACCGTTATCTAAAGTTCTTTTTTTCCAAATTTTTGATGTCGTTTTTTTTCTAGACCCCAGCTTGTAGTAGCTTGAAATTTTAGGGACTTTTAGACATTAACAAATAGTTCATTTCGTTAGAAGAAAATTTTTTTCCATCTCCACCCCCTCTCAATCTATTCTTATCGCCCCTTGAAATTTGTAAAATTTGAATTTTTGACACCTTATATTTCCGAAATCGCACGTTTTTTCAAATTTCTATAAACGCAAAAAGCTAACGGTAAATTCCATGACATTAAAAAATATAATTATTTTCCTTAACTCACACAATTAATCCTTAAAATCGAGCATTATGTTAACCCCTTTTTATATTAATTTTTACTTTATTTCAAAGACTGCATAAATCGGTCATCCTAAAAATATGCAATCCTAGAAAGAGTTTTGTATATGAATGAAAATAATTTTAATAGTGTGATAGGTATACATAGACTGTATTTAAAAGCAGAATTTTCACTTGTTGAAGGGAAAAGTGCTACAATACAAACCATTGGTTTGACCCAACTTTATTATTTTCTTACTTAATTTAAATTGCTTTCGTATGTTTAGGGTAGGCGTAATTTGTTAAATAATTCTGCCTGTTTCGCTAAATTAATTATGTAGTAGTGGAAAATATATGAGCGCTATTACTAATAAGATTATCGTTGTATTCGAGCGTTTTATTCGCATTTTGTTGTGTGACAAGAATTATTATCAAATCAATATTATTAAATTTATTATGAGAAAGTTCAGAATTGTCAAAATTCTTTCCTAAAAAAATGTCAAAATAAACTAAGTTTAAAAAAAATTAAAAATTTAAAGTATCTATCGCTTTCTATTAGAAAGATATAAAACATATTTTTTTCGAAAGCGATAAAAATACAGAAATGTTTCATGAGATAATTTTTATTTTCATGAGATAATTATTATTTTAGGATACGTATTTGGCCGGTTATTTACAGGAATATAGCGTATATACGTTAACATGGAGTTCGTTTAACTATACAGTAACTAGATTTTATAGTTAAGAAATATTTTTGAACATTTTGAAATGGTTTGTGTATAAGATAATTAAGAAAATTTTCAAATTCGAAAATTTAATTAATTTGTTAGTTTGGGATCTAGAACCTTGAATTATTAAATTCTTAACAAACTGCTTGTAGGTTATATTGTCTTTATATATTGAGTAAGGAACCTTCACAATCAATCAATTTAAAATTTTTGCTTGTCAATTTTTAAATGTAACTGTATATTTATTTATCACATACCACATACAAATGTCTCTAATATTAATAGCAAAGGAGAGAAAAAAAAACACACAAATGATTTCCTTGTACCTATAAAAAAGGCGTTTTAAAAAAAAAAAATTTTTTTTCTTGTTTTGTTGAAAGATAAAAGTATATGGGCCCTATTATTATAAAATCTTGTTACTGTTTAGTTTGACATTGAGTATAAATTTTTTATCCGAAACGAGGGTCGTTAAAGTAATAGATACGCTTTGAAAATATTTAATAAAATAACATCCCAAGAGTATGCTTGTACTTTTTTTGTTCTTGCTTTTTTTTTTAGTTTCTTGTACCTATGGGGCAATATTGTAGTTAATGTTTTAAAATATTGTCTAAATTTTTTTGTTTTTGTAAAGGTTTAGTTAATTCTTACCAGACATTTTTATTTCATTAATATGAAATTTTTTCACAAAAAAAATTCATAGCATAAACCTTTGAAAGATTATAACATATTTTATAAGAAAGCAATAAACTTTCCCGAATAGCTGCTCTAGTATTCTGACAATATTTAAAGTAGTCTGGAAAACCACTTGACGTTGTATATCGTAAAAATACTTCTAAAATTTTTGAATCTCTGAAAAGGCCTTTTCTCCAGACCCCATTATACACTTATTCTTTGTTTTTGGCCACGATTCAGTTTTATGTAATTTTTACTTTAATTTTCTTTATCCCTTTGAATTTTCAAAAAATTAAAAAAAAAATTTTAATAATTTTATATTCATCTGGCAATACTATTTTGGGGCAAAGTATTTATCAAATACACAATCAATTTTATTAGATAATGTTGTCTCTTTTGTTGCATAAAGTAAATACTTACGTCACATGTATATGTATAATAATTATTAAGCTTTTACAGTAACTATTCTTCCTGTATACTGAAGATTAAAAATATTATAACGATGAAATTATATTTTATTCTTTTTTCTCTTTAATTTTTTCTGACAACATTTTTAGTTGTGAGAATTTTTCCAATTAAATGACATAACATCATCTTTATTGAAATTTCAATATGTATGCACTTTAAATACAAACATGTGAATATTTTTTGTAAAAGTTAATTACTAGCCATAGTTTGTTGCAATTTAGAAGTAAATCTACAAAATACTCTGCACTTATGTAAATACATACGTGCCAATATACGTGCATGTATTCATGCATAGACACAATAAGAATCACATAAATTTAAAAGCTAATATAAAAACGATATATCATAAAATATAATAATGCGTATTGGAACATGAAGAAAATATTTTCAAAATTATCTGATAATGAAATAATAATAGAATGTTGGAAAAATGTTCTGTACATAACCTATATAATGTTACTCAAATATTTATATTATTGTACCATAGGAAATTTCTTATGTACGGTTATGTGTAGGTGTCAATGATATAATAAAATTATTGTAAAAGTTTTGAAAGAAAAAAAAATTATTGCTTTTCACAATTTTCTGTGATAAAATCACAGATTAAAATTTTAAAATTTGTGCATTTTGTATGAATTTTCCATTAAAAATTTAGAAGAGAATTTCATTCTTATACTATTGTGTCACATTGGTTGATTTGATATAAAAATTCAGTTTAATTCATTCTAAGCTAAAATTGAAAATCCGGCTCAACTCCTTTTATAAATCGATGAAGAACATTACAAGTCGACGAAAATTGGTTTGTTATTTTGGAAAATATTAAATCAAATAAATGTTCCACTCCAAATTTAAAAAAAAATATACAATTTGAGTTCAGCTTTTCAGTTCTAATTCTAAATAAGTTTGTTATTTGGTCGGCTAAAATACAAGTTCATCTTACATTTCACATACCTATTTTACATGAAAAACTTCAATTTATAATACTAGTGCCCAGGACTGATGTTGGCAAATTGAAAATTTTTTAACAAGACTTTTGTTTGTGAACCAATTTGAAAGAAATTATGATCACTTTTGAAATATTTAAAATAACTTCATTTCTAGAAACACAATAAAATTTTCAATGATTTGATTTTTAATTTTCTCTCTAAAAATTATAGTTCCTAAAGATATGCAAAAATAAATTTTCTTAATAAAAGTTGATCATGAAAAGTTGTAATAGTTTTAAAAATACTGTAACATTTTTTAATTTTCTACTTTTCAATATTTTAGCTCTGGGACCTTTTCGTCGCATTGCTTTCTTTTTTTTTTTGAAAATTTCAATTGGCCAGCATGAGATTCTCCGGGCGAAGCTCTGTATTACGACAATTTCTTTGAATTTTGATTGTTCCTAAAATTATTTTCACAAATTCAACATTCATTGTTTAATTTTTTGAAAATGTGCTTTGCCTTAAACCGTTATACAGGGTGATCAGAAAGGTATACAACGACATATACTATTGGTTAGAGAGTCGAACAGTCTCTTGAAGGCATACAAAATACAGAATCAAGCAGCATGTTTATTTTAAGCCCTTTACTAGGCCTTCCAGAAACTGTTCATTTGAAGTTCCTATCTTTTATATAAAGATATAATCAAAAAAACTTGGATAAGTAAAAATTTCGCAAAAATTCGTTAAAATTCGTAAATATACCTTTCTGACCCACCCTGTATATATCAGGAGCTTATTTAACATTTAAAAAAAAATTTACAACTGCAACCATCCTGTAATAAAAAAAGATTTTTTTTTGTCTTATTTCGTTAGAAAGTTTTTTCTTACAATTTAAATTTTTGTGAATTTACACCGATAGTTAATCCTGTTCTCTTTACATTTTAAATTTCGTTTCACCCCAAAGCTTATAAAAACGGAAAAAATAAAATGTTTTTTTTTCCGTAATGTTTACATTTTAATACCCACATGTCTGTGCAATTTTATAACACTATTCAAATACACATACACAAATTCTTCCTTATTGCTTAAGTTATATGTGAATATTACGAGTATGTTCTTGTATATAATGCTCGTTTTTACATACATAAACTACATGTCGAATATTATAAACTTAATTTTATTTTTGTCGTTTTATTTTATTTCATTTTACATTTTTTTTTTGTTTTTTTTTTTTTTTTCTTTTTGTATATATTTTCATTTGGTGTTAAGGTGAGAGATGGATATCGATTAGAGAAACCAGAACATTGCCGTCGTGAACTATACAATATAATGTATTATTGTTGGGCCAAAGATCCAAATGAAAGACCATCATTTTCGGAATTAGTACTTATGCTAGATAAATTATTACATACTGAAATGGATTATATTGAATTGGAACGTTTCCCAGATCACAATTACTACAATATACTTAATTTAAGTGGTGAAAAATTGTAATTAATTCTATATATATATATATATATGCTTTGTAGGTAAAACGGACATGGCATACATATATATATATATATTATATTACTATTCTGTAGATAATTTATTGTGTAATGTATTTGTACACATTCACACAAAAATATTATGCATATATAAGATACATTTACGTAGATATTGTTTGTATGAATGTTAGGATTCCATGTAAAAAATGGATTCAGGTAAATAGTATATATATAAGTAAAAGGAACATGAAATAAAATTTATTGTACTGATTTAGTAAAATTCAAAAAAAAAATAAATAAATAAAAATACAATAATATTGTTAAAGAATATAAAGTACATATAATGTTATAAAATATTCAATTTATTACTTACATACATAAATCTACCCAGTATAATATGTTGTATATAGAATTTTTGATATTAGTATATACTCGTAGTGATATATTGTAAAAAAACAAAACCATAAAATAAATATTAAGTTCTCCTCCACATAAAATATTATGTTCATGTATGTATGTATGTATGTATATTAATGTATTACATACATATAAATATGGTATTAATTGGCATATTAAAATGCAAAGGTAAAATGGTCATCAACGAATCCAATTTGAAATCATTAACCATATTATATAAATTATATAAGATTAACATAATATAATTACATATACAGGGTGTCTCATAACAAATTTCACTTCTATATGCCATTTTGTAGGCCCTCATGAGTAGACAAAAGTTTTGTATGGAGACAATGTTCACAGCTCAATAGGTTCGAAGTTACAGGGGCTTAAAATCAATTTCGACTGATTTTTTTACTTTTTGAAGTTTTAAGTATAACTCCGTGACTGTGTAAGACAGGCACATTAACAAATTTCAAACCTTAAAGTTAGGACTTTCTTATCAATAGCTTCAGTTTTAATTTGTTCAGATTTTGAAATCACATAGCTTTCAAATTCAAAAAGTTTTAAATTTTAACTTTTCATTTACTAGGTGATGTAACATTGGAGAAGGAAAAAATTTTATATCAAATAAGATTTACAGTAATTTATTTTTCTCTATAACTATTAAACCAGATCAGGTAGCTTGATGACTCATACATTCAATTGAAACTCAGTTGTCAAAGTTGCCACCTGTGCTAAAATTGGAGAAAGCTTCAATGTTACGTCACCTATAAAATTAACGTTTTTTAAAAATGAAATCTAGAAAGTTTTTTCTACTCATGATGGCCTATACAATGTCATATAGCAGTGCAGTTTGTTACGAGACACCCTATATACTACATAAATATAAATGTATGTATATAGTTAAAACTTAAATAAAATGAAGCAATTATAAAGACTTATAAATTTTATTTGTTAATATTATAATACACATTTTTTATATACATATATAAAAATATAAGATAAAGAAACAAAACTCAGTTTTAAAAGTAAATTGCTGTAATTCTCACAATAAAATAACAGAATAATAACAGAAAATTTAAAATTTAATTTTTATCTTGATGTTTATTTAAAGGCTATTGTACCAATATTAATTTTGATTTGATCTTTGTAACATTTATGTAAATACGCATATATGTACCTAGTTATGTATATAATAAAAGAAATGTTTTGGTCGATTTACTAGATATACATTTAATGTTTGCTTATACGTCCCATTGTTACTAATTATTATTATTATTATTTTTTTTTTGAAAATATACGAAAACTTTCGTCCTGTTGATTTCATTGAGATTTATATTTAAAAAAAAAAATTATTTTATTATAATAACATTTATTATTAAAATTAGCTATTTATTATTAAGAATATGTGTAGATGTAATAAAAAGATAGAAAGTTAAAATTGAATGTTAATTAAAATATGTAAGAAATGTATGAAAAAAAAATTTTATTTATGTAATAATGAATATAATAATAAAAGTTAAAAATTTCATTACAATTTAAATAAAACCAGTTTGTAAAGTTAAACACTTTTTTTTTAATTTAGATTTTTGGCTAATAGCATATATACGTACATATATACAGAGCCGAATCTACCATATAAGTAAAGTAAGCATTGCTAATGAGCTTCGGAAAACAGGAATGTCATTGAAAACTTAAAAAAAAAAAATCAAATTTCAAAAATAATTTTTCCAATTTTTTCGATTACGTACTTTCCAAAAGTTTTTTTTTTCTACCAACAGTGAAATTAATTGTATAACATATTTAGATTACAAGACAAAAATCTGAAAGTTTGATTACAGAGATTAATTCCATGAATTTTGCATTTAGCAAGATAAAGTGATTTATTATATGCAATGCCCGATATTTTTTGCACATTATTTATTGCTTTGGAAGTGGCTTTGTGGGGATGGGCCGGGAACACTTATGTAAAACCAAATAGTGTGCCAAACTAGTCACAACCAGATTTGTACATATGTATGTATCTATCAGGTATGGATACACCCAAGTTCAGAGAGTGTATTGAAATAATTTTCCCAAATTTGTATGAAAAATAAAATGGTTATTGGAAATTATGTATGTACTTGTATAAAGAAATTAACCAATATTTTTATCTATGCTAGTTTTACATATTATTTGAAAATTTAGTGTTCAATTTAAAAAAAATAATTAATTGCAAATTTGACTGCATCAGAATTTTTTTTCTTTCAAGTGGAAGAGTTTGAGTATCGAATTACAGGATTTTTTCATTTATATTTTTTGATTTTGATTTAAATGAAAAAGAGTTGTTGTTAAAATAAATTGGAGGCTTCTAAAAACTAATAAATTTATTTAATAATTTTTAGATTTAAATGAGAATACTTAAAAAATTGAACAAAAACATTTCGATTTGTTTTTTAATTTTTTTCGGAATATTTTAGAAAAAAATACAATTTCGGAAACTTGCTTGAAATACATCAAATAATAATTATAAATGCATAAATGAAGAACATTATTTTTCTTTTAAAAACTGAGAGGTACTGCCGTATTATCGAACATTATAATAAATTTCAACTTTTTGATTAATCAACAATTGTTCCTTAAATTAAAGAAAAATTAGTTCATAACGAAAAACTTGAAGTACGTTTTGGTACATATATGTATAAGTTATCCTCACAATTCAATGAATACCATGGACCTAAGAAGAGTATAAAAAACATTTTTTGAAGCATTGTCAATGTTATAAAATTCCCGAAAAAATCACTAAAATTAAGACTTTTTTCAATTCACAAAAGATAAATCTTAAATCATAATACCTCGCCACTCTAATATGAAAACAATTTTATATCTCATTTAAAATATGATTATTCCGTATTTCTCCGAAATCAGAGCAGAATTCATACAATTACAATGAAAGCATATTATGTATATGCAATTTATACTAATAGACATAATAGGAAGACATAGCCATACATAAGTTTATGTGTAGATTTGAGGTAATATACATACATACATATGTATGTATACTAACATAATATTTCAATTTATATGAAACTAGATTACTATGCGTATACACATTTCAATTAAATTTAATTAAATTGTTAAAAAAAAAATATCAAATAAATTTTATCATGTTGATTAATTTATGTACGTAAAGTGCTTTTAAATAATTATAACAATAGATTAGTTTCGAAATTAAAAAAAAAAAATATGTATACCTTGCATAGCCATTTAATTAACATAATGATATTGAAAGGATATTTTTATATATAGAAAACAATAAGAGACTAAAATATCACTACTATTGTTTCACAAAATCATTATTTTCTAAAAATTAATTAAATACAAAAATTCCAAATCTATATTACTTTTATATTCGGAATTTTGTATTTAATTAATTCTAATTCTCTTTAATTCTAATTGAACATCAATTTTAAATTATAGACATAGACAGATCAAATTGAAAGTGTGGAAGTATGTTCTTGATTAATTATGATAATTTTCAAATTATTATATTTTAATATCTATTAAATTGTATCTAATTAGAAAAAGGATACTCAAGAAATTTTTAAGAAAAATATTTTGAAAATTCAATTTCAATTTACTTGAGAATTTAAATTTATATTTTATAAAATATTTTCATCGCTTTTTCTGTTTTTCCATAAATATTTTCAGAAATTAGAAGAAATTCGAAATTAATTTTATAAAAGTTTAATTACCATTGTCAAATAAAATACATAGTAGATTAAAATATTAGTTAAAAGTACAATTATATTATAAAAACGAGAATATGTAGAGTTGACCGTGCCAACTATACCATACCTATGCGAATTAATGATATTAAGTGCTGTGTGTTAATTGTCATAGCTTTCTATACATACTCCTGGGTTGTCATTTGTTTAAACAAACTTTCATAAAATTCATTAAATACTCCTAACACCACAAATCAAGAAATTTCAACTACTTAACTATAATAAAATTTTTGAATGTGGAAAGTTTCAATATTTAATAGCTTAAATAATTTCTCAGATAGTCAAATAGTTTTTGAAGTTGTAGGGCAGCTACCCGAACCACTCGTCTCGATCATATTCAATTAAAATACGGTTCTGGTTATTTACTATCACAAATCATTTGTGAAAATTCGATGGACTTAGCTTAAATAATGTTTCAGTTATAGTTGGGATGAATGAACGGACGGACAGACAGACGGACACGCAAGTCTATATTGATTCAGAATTCGACACTGATTAAAAACATACACTTTTGTCTATATAGCAGACCATTATTATTTTAGCGTTGCAAACGGTATGGCAAATATTTATTATACTTGCTCAATTTACGTTCGCGCGTTTTTTTCAATATTATTGAAAAACTACATATGTTAAACTTCGGCCAGCTTTTCATAAATTTATGCATAAAAATGCTAAATATCAAAACTATTGAAACTAAAAAAAAATTTAAATCTCATCTTAATTGCAATATGTTTTAAGTTCTTAAATTTTTGTTCAATCGAAGCCGGAAATAATTTTATAAACAATATTTCACATAAGGTTTTGTTTTTATTTAAAATATATTAGCAATCAAGATCATATTAGCTAATACAAACATTAGAAGTTCAAAACTCAATTGTTACAAAATGCTTGAAAAAAAACCTATGAAATGCTGTTATTGATTTGTTTTCGATTTTGGCCAATAAGATGAATAGACGATTTTCTATTCTCAACTCTCAGTAAAATTTTGTACATTCATTAGCTAAAATATTCTAAAATTTCAACTTTTTCATTTCTAAATTACTTCAAATCAAAAATTTGGTCTCATTAAAATAAATTTTTAAAAACAAGTCTAATTTTCTCAAAAAATTTTGTTTTGTCTATTTCATTAAAATATTCATCAGAATATCTTATTAGAGTTTACTTTATTCTAAAAATTCAATTAAGTTTCTATGTCTAAGTTCTCGTAATTTCCAATAATAAGCTGAATAAAAAATTGAAACTGTTTAAGGAAAACCCACAGATTAAATAAATAGACTAAAGTATATGGAAAAAAAAATGATTTTCTAAATTAGTGTAGAAGATTATTGTAGAAAAAATTAAAAAGGAAAATATATGAAAAAAAAAGAATAGGAACAAATTAAAATAAAGAAAAACTGACTAATTAGGTTCTTGTTTATTTCTTTTTTTGTTTTGTGTTTTTTTTTTTCCTTGTTTCCATTATTTTTATTTTGCATAATTGGTACCAGTACAAAAACTAATAATATATTATCCTTATTTGCATATTTAAATAAAATTATCCTTTTTTTCTCCTCCTTCTTTTTTTATCATGATATTTTTTTTTTCCTTTTTTCAATTGTGTCCTT